GCCCAATCGCCTGTCCCCACGTGTAATCCCATGATTGGATAACATTAGCTATATAAGCCCAAGTATAGGAAGTGCCCGACGCACAACACGGAAGAAGCCGTCGAGGACGGACATGTATTGAGGTTGCTGCCCAGTCAATAAAGGTGCTTGCAGAGGCTGAGTGTTCGTGTGCTCCATTCCGCGGGACGGAAGCGGCTCCGGACAGCTGGTGGCCCGTACGAGGACCTGAAACCATTCCCGTGCCTTCTGCGACTCCTGTGACTGCGTTGAGAGACAGTACGTACCTGCGGGTGAGTGGAGGCTCAACCCGGCCCTTGGTGGACGCACTTTAAGGGATCTACTGGTCGACCCCTTGCGGGGATTGACATTGCCCGAAAAAGAAGGGCAGGCCTCCGTTGGCTATTGCGCCTCGGGGCTCTTTAATTTTGTTAAGATGGGCAATGTTAACTGCGGCCCCCTCGCCTTATCGCTGCGGTTGTTGCTTAAGGCGCGAGGGATTAGGATAGATAAGCAAACGGTGCTGCAGTTTTTCGAATGTATCTATGGTTTGGCCCCATGGTTTCTGCCCACCGGATCCCTCACTTTACCCTCCTGGGAGAAGTTAGGATGTGATATTCAGTTTGCTGAGGAACAAGGGATGGGTGTCGACCCTATAGTCCGCCCCATATGGGAGATGGTTCGGGCATGTCTTAAAGCCGAAAGTATGATAGGCGCAGCCCAGGGACTCAAAGAGGCACGCCACGCTTTCGAGCAGGTGCGCTCGGAGAGCTCCAGGGAGGCCTCAGAGGTTGGCTCACCGAGCCATTCAGATTCAGAGGGGGAAGACCCTAAGGTGGGCCCAAAGGAGGAAACTGACAGTAAGATAGGCCCACATCGCAATACAGGGCAGAAAGTTCATAAACCTGCTGGAGCCTTGTGTGAAGGGTTGATGGAGAGCTTAGAGGAAGAGCTCGAGAGAGTGGAGAATGATATACAGGAAGTACATACCCCAGGCGGGACGAGACCAACCCCGTCTGCCCCTCCCTGGGAGCCACCCCAGGAAATGAGCGCACCTGGAGGCTGGGGGCCGCCCCCTCCCTTCCCCGCCACACTTCCGTCCTCCGGACGTTGCTCGTTTCATGGTCGCTTGTGGGACGTCTTGCGTAGGGGCCTTGCCTCGTATGACGCTCCCAGCTTCTACCCGGTCCTCCAGGACCAGGCTGGCGCGCCTTATTATCAGCCCCTGGACATGAAAGTGGTTAAGGGGTTAAAAGAGGCAGTCTCCACTTACGGCCCCAATGCCCCCTTTACGCAGGCTCTTTTGGAAAACATAGGAGCCACCCCTCTGACACCCTCGGATTGGGCACAGCTTGCAAAGGCATGCCTGTCACCAGGCCACTTTATGGACTGGAAGGCTTGGAACGACGAGTATTGTGGGGAGCAAGCCGAAAAGAACGCTAGGGAGCGCAATGCTAGATGGAACAAAGATATGTTATTAGGCCAGGGAACCCATGCGCAGGATCAAATCTGGCACCCTCAGGCAGTTTATGATCAGATTACTAAGTGTGCCATCGCCGCTTGGAAACAACTTGCCAAGGCAGGCGAACATACTGCCTGTCTTACTAAGATTGTGCAAGGGATGACAGAGCCATTCTCTGACTTTGTGGCCAGGATGCTAGATGCCGCCGGCAAGGTCTTCCCCGACCTCAGTGTGGCGCAGCCCCTGGTAAAGCAGCTAGTCTTTGAACAGTGTACCAAGGGCTGCCGTGCAGTCATTACACCACATAAAAACAAGAGTTTAGAAACCTGGACCAAATTATGTAGAGAAGTGGGGGGACCACTCTCTAATTCAGGTCTTGCAGCCCTGGTGGGCGCTTCAATTAATGCAGCCCTCGGCTCCCGCCCTCCAGCAACACAACAGCAGATGCAAAAGAGTAAAAAATGTTTTGAGTGTGGCCAATACGGGATGTTCCGAGGTGGCTCAAAACATGATGAAACGGATGGGCTATACCCCTGGCAAAGGCTTGGGCATCAAATTGCAAGGAAATACCTCTCCTGTGCCCGCCCTAACTAAGAGGGACAGGAAGGGGCTGGGGATTTAGCTCAGCGGCATAAGTGCCTGCCTTGCAAGCAGGCAGTCATGAGTTCGATCCCTGGTACCGAAAAAGACAAAAAAAAAAGAAAAAAAAAAAAAAAAAAAAAAAAAAAAAGAGCAGCCTATGCTGTTCTCTCCCTGATCTTTGGGTTCCCATCCAAGCCCAGGACACTCTCCTCGTTGCCAACCAGAACAAAAGGAGGGATAAAAGATTGGTTGTGGCAGGCAGCGGGGGTGGTCTCTTCTCTGTTTGTCCCTGCAGTGGGACAGGCTGTTTTGCAGGCATGGACCTCCGAGCAGCTCACGTTGACCATGGATGCAGTCAATCGGCTGAGCAACGCCACACGAGAGACCATCAAGGCTCAAAGGCAACAGATTGAGCTTAACAGCCAGGCTATACTTCGGCTACAAGAAGAGATCCAGCTCATCGGGCAGGAGATTGATGCGTTGTGGCAGGTTGCCACTCAACTCTGTGATCAGAGGTGGCTGCCTTTCCGGGTCTGCGTCACCCCTCTTCGCACCAACTTGACTGAAACCACAAAACTATGACCGCGTGGTTACAGGACACTTATCTGCCAAAATTTCATAATCTGTCTGTGATTGTTAATCACGAGTTAAACGAGATAGAAAAGGTTCAATTAAACCCAGTTAGGTTTGATTTGTCTACCCTGAGGGACGTCCTAAAAGGTTTGTGGGACCATGTCACTTCCTGGTTCTCTTGGCCCAATTTGACTACTTGGATTCTGATTGTTGTTGCCATACTGGTGGGGTTGGTGGTCGTCAAATGCTTGCTAGACCGCTTGATGCAAACCCAGCAGCAGGTCAAGTTCACAGCTATGGCGGCAATGCAGCTGGTGGAGGGGGGCCCATCCGGTAGCCAGGCGGCTGCATATCTCCTCCATGTCGCAGAGCATCAGTTATAAAATGCTGGATGGGTGAGCCAAAGACGGGTAAGACTGAGGTACCCCACCTTGCTCAACCTAAGACAGGCCCCATTCCACACAATGACAGCAAGAGGCACCAAGGTGCGAGACCAGATGGTACTGCATGACATTCTACTCTTGGGGTTTTTGAAGAGAGATGTCAGGCTATATGTCTGTATGCATCTAGGTTTCATCCGAATTACCCTAGCCCTGCGCAAAAGGATGAGGCTTGGGGGTCCCTTCCGACGCGGGGGTGGCCAACCTGTGCCGGGAGATGACCTCAGAGCCATGCACAGCGGGGTACAGACCACTGTAGTCACTTGGAAGACCTCGCTGTCATTTGCTTGTAAATAAGAAAGGGGGAGATGTTGGGAGCCTGCCATGTTATTCATGAGAGCATATTCATAAGATGGCACCCGCCTGCCGCCTCCGCTGCTCCCCCGCCCATCGTGTGCCCAAGATGGCACACACATCCTGCTTCCTGGTTCTTGCTCGGCTTACTGTCCCCGCCATATATGGTAATGATTGATTGCTTCCTTGTTACCGCCCAATTGCCTGTCCCCACGTGTAATCCCATGATTGGATAACATTAGCTATATAAGCCCAAGTATAGGAAGTGCCCGACGCACAACACGGAAGAAGCCTTCGAGGACGGACATGTATTGAGGTTGCTGCCCAGTCAATAAAGGTGCTTGCAGAGGCTAAGTGTTTGTGTGCTCCATTCCGCGGGACAGAAGCGGCTCTGGACAATAGCAATATAAGCTTTCAAAACAAGATGATAGGAATTTAACAATGGTTTTTATATTGCATATTGTTATCTTCAAAAGAGTTTCTTAGATTAACAGATATATACATGCAAATTTGATCAAACCATATGTATATTAACTGCTCTTTCCACAAACTAATAGAATCAGTAGTATAATCCTAATCATTTTATTTGTCTTACACACACACACACACACACACACACACACACACACAAATATATAAGTAAAATAAATTTGATGTATTTGCACATCCCAAGTTCAAATTTTACAAAGCTACTTTTTAAAAAAATCTGTGGTAATGTCATAAAGACATGTATATAGATCAGTGAAGCTGAATAAAGACTAGATACAAATACATCTATCTACAATTGATTTTCAAGAAGGATATCAAGATCCTACATTAGGCAATGAAATCCCTTCAGGATATCATGTCAGGAAAACTGGTTATAAACATATGAAGAAAATGAAGTTGGAGAACAACCCTCTACGTTATACAAAAATAATCTCAAAATGTATTAAATACCTAAAACTTAGGAGTTAACACTATATCACTTTTGGAACAAATGTGGGAACTTTTTTCATAACAAAGTGTCCTAATGGTTGTTTAAATATGATAACAAATGTACAACTAAAAATTGAAGCAATAAGCTTCATTAAAATTAAATGCTATTGCATAAAAATTAACAATGTGAAAAGGTAATCCACAAAAGGAACAGAAAACTAGCATGTGATAGTAGTTTCATTTCTAGACTATAGCCCAAATGACTTGACATCTAAAGAACAAATCACCCAATAAAACAATAAACCAATCAGTGATCACACATTGCTCCAAATAGAACTGAAATGACAAAGAACCTTAAAAAATGATGCAGAACATCAATTATCAGAGAAGAATAAATCTAAATCACAGTGAAATATCATTTTATGCACATTAAAATGTCAATTATTTAAAAAATCAAAATAATAACTGTGCCTAGGGATATGAATAAAATGATCTCACTTATGATGATGAGAATGTAAAATGGTTAGATCATAGGAAAGCATGTTGACAGTCATAAAAATTTTAAAGTACATGGTATATAAACCAGAAATTCACTTTATAGGTACATACTCACAAGAACTGAGCAGCAAAAGGAACAAGTACTTGTACCACGTTTCAGGAACAGCCAACTAAAATGAAGTGAAACTGGGACAGCTCATTTATTGACCTTAAGAACAATGTGTGAGGGAAGATCATATTGCCTGCTACTACTCCTGGAACATTTATGTCTAGATGCCCTTTAACTACCATATTCAATGGAATTTAGAAGCACTTTCTCTGTACCACAAATTTCCCAAACTCTTTGAATTCTGCAGAGGTGACCCACAGCTGCTTGAAACTGCTCATAGAGGCCATGATGGATGCACCAATCCATGCAGAGAAACATCTATCAGGAGAAGCAGTGATCTTAATTGGTGTTCCTCCAGAAGCTAGCTGCTCCAGCTCTTCCATGAGCCTTTCCTCCAACCCAGGGAAAAGTGTCGAGCCCCCGGACAGCACAATATCAGCAAAAAGGCTCTTCTGGATATCCATGTCACACTTTGTGATGCTGCTGCAGATCATTTTTGAGAGTCCTGGATCCTGAATGCCAAGCTGTTCTGGAGAGAAAAGCACTTCAGGTACCTGGCACAGATGATCCCCAATGCTGATTGTATTCCCATCTGGCAGTGTATACTCTGTCATGACCTCCTGCCGCCTCTTGTAGGGCTCTTTCTCTGGCTCCAAGGAGACGTAGCAAAGCTTCTCTTTAATTTCATCCACTACAGCCTTGTTGAGGATGCAAGGATAAGTACATCCTCTGGCCAAGAGGAGCCTGATGAGGTGTTCTGTGATGTCCCTCCCTGCCACATAGAGCTTGGTGACTGCGTGAGGCAGGGAGTAACCTTCAAACACAGGGACAGTACACGTGACCCCATCTCCGCTGTCCAACACCAAGCCTGTGACAGAGGCACAAGCATAGAGTGCTGCCACTGCATGGTTGCACAGATAGAAGGCAGGTACATCAAATTTCTCAAACATGATTTCAGCAGTCTTCTCTCGGGTTTCTCTTGGGTTCAAGGAGGGTTCAGTCATCAGAACTGGCTGATCACTGGGTTTAACTCCCAGCTCCCACTCAAAAAGATGTTTCCAGAGTTTCTCCATGTCATCCCATCTTGTTACCATCCCACGCTCGACAGGGTAGTGCAAATACAAGGCATCATACTTGTACTGGGCTTCCTCTCCTACAAAGTATTTCTTTCGATTGGCCCTTGCTGAAGGTATACTGAATTTAGGGTGGCCCACAACAGAATTGATGACATGGCTGGGTTCAATATAACCAGATAGTCCCACTTTACAGAGTCCTGAACCATTGTCAAAAACTACTGGTGGACATTCCAGGTCAAGTGGAGTGGACATGTTTGTGGCTGATCCTCAGCACTGCCCCAAATTAAAGAAAGATTACCTGGGCCACTTTGTGAGACAAATTTCTCTGGGAGTATTACAGCCAGAAGATTCTGAAGTTTTCAAATTGTTGACCCAATGATGTTACCAGGTTTTTCTCAATCCACCAGAGCAAGGTTTCCTCAGTCCATGAATGTCATCTTCTTTCTGGAGGCCTAGGTGAGGCTGAGGCTATCTCAAGGCTGATTGCCCCAGGGATGTCACAATGTAACCACTGAGACAATTGTCTCCACCATCAGAGGGGTGGGGCCCCTTAAACAGCCATGCTTCCTACTTGAAAGCAGGGGAGGCACACTATTCCTACATGAAGCTGATACTGGCCATAAAAACCTAGTTTCAGAGCAAACTGAAGCTCATGTCCTACAGAATAGTTTCCTCTGTTCTGTTTTATTGGGCAATTCTAGTAAGCAATATGTAAAAGAAATAACACTTATTTTAAACATAAAGGTATATGGACAAGAAATGGCATCTCAAATTTCTTTGGGAAAAAAATAACTGTAACATTATACATTGAGTAAGAAATGATGGAAAATATTGAACATAGAATATATTAAAACATATATCCCATAAGTGTAGCACCACAGTAACCTCAATATAGCACAAATATATTTAAAGGACAAGTGATGTGTGATTGGCATGTGGTCACAGCTTTACTGTCAGTCTTATACAGTAACAAAGATGGTACATGTCATTGCTTCTCTGAAGACAATTAGAATAACAAAAAATTATAAACAACAAGGTTTCGGACATTCATCAATTGGCACAAATTCCTATGAAAATAGAAAACAATTTAGTCCTGTGATTGCCCAGCCATACTATTAGGAGTGGAGTTTTAGGTCAAAGAGCATTTAAGTAATGTATAGTTAGAACCCAATAATATTGATGACTCAAGGACCAAAACTTTGGATTTGAGAGAGAACACAAAATATCTTGAAATTTTGGAGAATATACTGTAAGAATTACAAAATCTCAATAAATAGAAAGTTCTGAAAATTTCATAAAGTTTTGAATGAGTGCTAAATTGGAACATGTGTGTGGTGAGTGTAAGGATCAAAAAGAACTACTGTAAGATTCTTCTAAAATAATATTCAGATTCATTTTAATAAATTGAAAATATAAATAATGTGATGATGTCCACACATTGTAGATGATAGATGACATTCTTTGAATAAGTACATTCAAGACACAAAATGATTTTTTAAACATGAAAATACAACTTGACCATTCATTGTACATGTCATACATTATTTTGTTTTAATAATACAAGTAAAACTATAATACTGTATTCCTTATTTCATTATATCTTTAAACTCTTTTTTTTTTTTTTTTTTTTTTTTTTGGTACCAAGGACACAACTCATGACCTCATGTTTGCCAGGCAGGTGCTTATGCCTCTGAACTAAATTCTCAGCCTAACTGTAGGGAGCCGAGGGACAGGCATTGCTGTCTCCCTGTCTCTTTCTCTCCTATGGGCACTGTGTCTGCCTACATTAACCATAATCCTCTCCTGCTTATGTCACGTATCTGGATGTGACGGTGACCCTGTTGTATTCATCTGTTTAACCTCTTCCTGTCCCAGCTCCCGCCCTTAGCCTATAAAAGGTGTTATCATTTCCTGAATAAACTGGAGGCTTGATCAGATTATCTTGACTTGCCTTCGCCTCGCTTTGTCTCCCCCATGTATTTTATTTAATCTCCGTTACCCCTCCAGAAGTTCTGGACAGGTTGATCTGCAGGCCGGATCAAGTGGCGCTCGATGTGGGGGCTCCTGGCATGGAGGAGTTAAAGAGGGAGCCGTTAGAGAGACAGCTGGCTTAAACTGAAAGTGAAAGCAAATTGAACCAGAGACCTTGGCCGAGGAGTGAGTAAACTGAATCAAGGATTAAAGGTTAAAGCAACAGGACATTAAATTAAGTAGCGAGACCTGCGCAGATGACTACCCAACTTCCTGCCCAAGTCACGGTGAGTGAATGGCGACCCCATTTCCCTTCCCAGACATGGGTCAAGGATTGAGCAAACACAAATTGTTCGTGGGAGGTCTTATAAAGGCATTAAAGACAAGAGGGATAAGGGTTGGAAAAAAATTATTGTAGTATTTTCAATTTATTCATAAGGTTTGCCCTAGAGGGTTCTATAGATACCAAGAGGTGGAATAGAGTAAGAGATGCTTTAAAAGATTATTATAGAGTTTTCGGTCCAGAAAAGGTTCCTGTGACCACCTTTACATATTGGAATTTAATCTCTGAGCTGCTTGCCCAGAGGCATGCAGACCCTCAGGTTGAGGAGACAGTTACACTAGGTGAGGCTGCCCTGCGCGACTCCGTTAAATCTACCTCAAAACTGTCCTCAGAAAAATCTGAAGCCTCTGATTTCTCAGATGCAGAGGATGATGGCCTGTTAGAGGTCTTCATACATGGTGATCTGCCACCACTTCCACCTGTTGACATGATCAGCAGGTACCAGGATGGCAGCCCGCCACTTCCTGTGCCTCCATGGCTAATTGTGGATTCATATAAGCCTTTATACCCTGGCCTTTCTGATTCTCAGGAGGTCAACTGGGAACAACCAGCACAACAAGCCTCAACATATCACCCTAACCCTGTTGCAGCACCGGCCGCTATTAGGCCGTCCCCTGACTATGATGATGCACTCAGCATCTGCTCTCAAACTTCTAGCACATTAGTGGAATTAGAGCAAAGAAAAACGGATCTTTTAAAACAGATACAGCTAGAAAAAGAATGCCAAAATCTTTCAATTCAATTGCAGGCCCTCCGAGCTACAGTTTTATAATGTCCTTGAGATGGAGCCTGCCTCCAGCACGCCTTGTAGTGCGCTTAAAATGGTGCCTGCCTCTGGCAGACAGCCTAAAATGGCTTTCCCAGTCACAGAGGCCTTTACTCCCCCACGGGATTTTGAAGAGGGCACTGAACCACAAGCTATTAGGATACACACACCTCTCACCATGGCAGCCTTAAAAGTGTTAAAGGCCACAGTCTATCAATATGGCCCGACTGGCACCTACACCATTGAGGTTCTAGATTCTTTGACTCAGGGTTGGATTATTCCTAATGAGTGGAAAGACTTAGCAAAAGCCACCCTCTCTGGAGGCAATTATCTATTATGGAGATCTGAATTTTTTGATCAATGCAAGGACATAGCCAGACATAACGCCGCACGGCCAAACCCCTGGACCCTCGCTATGCTTACAGGAACAGGAGATTTTGCCACAAAAGAGACCCAAATGTAGTTCGATTCGGACCTCTTTGTCCAGATTAATATGGCAGCCATTAGAGCGTGGAAGCAGCTCCCCTCAGGAGGCGAGCCTACCTTATCTCTCACCCAAATAAAACAAAAGCCTGAGGAGCTCTTTTCGGACTTTGTCGATCACCTCTTACAGGTGGCAGAGCGTCTTTTCGGCTCCAGAGAAACAAACTCTGCCCTGGTTAAACAATTGGCTGATGAAAATGCAACCTCAGATTGTTAGGCTGCAATTCAACCACATCGCAAAAAAGAGCACCTATCGGGTTATATCCGCTTATGTACAGATATTGGGCCAGTTTATCAAGGCCTAGCCATGGCTACAACACAACAAGATTGCATAGTTACACAACCCCTTTCTCATTCTAAAAAAAGATGCCGCTTGTTTCAAATGTGGCCAAAGTGGCCACACGGCTCGTGATTGCAAAAGAAAAAAATCAAAATCAGTCCTCTACAAAAAAACCAGGGCTATGTCCTAGATGTAAGCGAGGAGACCACTGGGCTAATGAGTGCAAATCCAAAAGAGATGTTCACGGTAACCCTCTTCCCTCGCAGGGAAACTGGTTACGGGGCCGGCCCCAGGCCCCCAATTTCAGACAAACCTGTGGGGCTCCAAGGTTTGCCCCAGCAAAAAACCATCCATTCCAGACCTCTTCAGGGCAACCCCAGGGAGTGCGGGGTTGGACCTCTGTTCCACCTCCAACACAGTAGTAATCCCTGACATGGGTGTTCAGATCATGCCCTCAGGAATCTATGGGCCCCCTCCCCCCAGGACTTTTGGACTTATTATTGGACGTAGTAGCACTACGCTTAAAGGATTACAAGTTCTGCCTGGGATAGTAGATAGTGATTACACAGGAGAAATAAAAGTCATGGTTTCTCCCCTTGTCAGTGTCATACCAGTTAGGACAGGGCAACACCTTGCTCAATTGCTGCTATTGCTGTTGGCTCAAACATCTAACAAATCCATAACTCCCTATAGGGGGAACTCCCTTCCTGGAGCTTTGGATGTATATTGGGCCCAATGTATCTCCAAACAAAAGCCCCTCATGACTCTATCTTTAGATGGAAAAAGTTTCTCAGGCCTCTTTGATACAGGTGCAGATGTTTCCATTATCAAAAAGGAGGAGTGGCCTACTGCCTGGCCTTTAGAAACAACCTTAACACACCTCCAAGGGATTGGACACTCAAAAAATCCACAACGCAGTTCCAAACAACTGGTTTGGAGAGATCAACAAGGTAATCAGGGACACTTACAACCTTATGTCATAGAGAGTCTGCCTCTTAATTTATGGGGTAGGGACCTACTCTCCCGAATGGGATTAATTATCAGAAGCCCTAATAATGTTGTCACAATGCAAATGCTTAATAAGAGCTACCTGCCAAAACAGGGCTTAGGAAAAAATAACATGGGCATTACTGATCCCATCATTCCCATCCCTAACAATGCTAAAGTTGGGTTAGGCCATTTTTCATAGGGGCCATTGACACTCCTTCGATCCATGCTAAACAAATTACATGGCTATCAGAAGAGCCGGTATGGGTCGATCAGTGGCCTTACCTCTGAAAAGCTTGCAGCCGCACAGCAGCTGGTGCAGGACCAGTTAGATGCAGGCCACATTGTCCCTAGTAATTCCCCTTGGAACATACCTATCTTTGTTATCCGGAAAAGGTCAGGCAAATGGAGGCTGCTACAAGACCTTAGGGTGATAAATAAGACAATGGTCTTAATGGGGCCCCTACAGCAAGGCCTCGCCTCACCCAGTGCCATTCCCCTGGGATTTTTTAAAATTGTCATAGATCTTAAAGATTGCTTTTTCTCTATTCCTTTACATCCAAAGGACCAAAAGCGTTTTGCCTTCAGTCTCCCATCAAT